CCTTTTCTCCTCTTGTTGTGAGACTTCCCAGCATTAGCTCTCAGGAGACAGGTTGGAGTAGATTCTTGCTAGCCACACATTTGTGTATTCTGTTCCTTAAAAGGTGGGGTGTTTTAGCATGTTTAGCTGTATGTGCATGTAGAGCTGCTTGATTTTTGTCATTACATTTTGGGGATGGCCCTGGGGCAGTGAAATCGTCAGTGAAATGTTCACTGAGTACCTCAGCCGGTTCACAGAGCCCTCTCTTCTGTGCTGCAGCTCATTGTGAAATGCCTGCCACTCCAGAGGCTTCAACAAGGACAGGATGTAATACACAGCAGATAGAAACAGACACCTTTTCTTTGTTCTGACCTCTTTGCAAAGAAGGAGAGCTTGGGCTGGAGGGTTTCTTGTGAGATCAAGTGTAAAAAGTGTTCTTTAAAGAGGCAAATGCAGTATCTTGTGCCAGAACTTAAGTTATTTCCTGGAAAGAATTTTTTTAGAAGTATTGGAATCCAAAGCAAAAAATAAGCATGCATAAACACACAATCACCCTTTCACTGTCTATATCTATAAATATAAATATTTATATATAAAACTAACATTTAAGAGAAATATTTTTTACCCTCTCAGATAAGAGCTTCTTGACTGTTTTTAGTGGGTTGATCTCTGCCTGAGGAAACATGAGAAGGGAGCGTGTTTGAATACAAACATGGTTCAAATATTTTCTATTTTATGGGACTCTGCATGAATGAAATGCCCAGCGTTAAAGACTGACCAGATGGAGGTTTCTTAGCACATTTGTGTGCTAGAACTGTAGCTGGGTTGCTCAGGAGCCCAATTTTAGGGCTGCTGGAGGAGATGTCTTTAGACATTGATTTGTTGCAGGCATCCTGTGTGGGTAATGTACCTGTGTATGTGAGGAGAAAGGCTTTTGCAGTATTTTGTGTTCTGGTTACCTATGGGGCAGAGAGGAGCCGCCGATCGTGTTTTCACACCATGTTTTTGAAGAGGTGGCACAAAAGGGATGGGTTGCGGATGACAAAGCCATTGATTGTTCCTAGGCTACTTCCCAGTGGTCTCTTCAGGCCAAACACTTCATAAAGGTCTGGACTGAGACGAAAGGAGCAGTTATGTCGTGCTCTGGGACAAAACTCTCCTCAGCCCAACAAAATCAAGACAGGAAAACCTCCCTTTTCTGCTGGACCAGCAGTCTGGGTATTCAGATGAAAATGTAGATATAAGATGTAAACCTACAGCAAGATTATTTTTATCAGCCATTTTATGTGTAGATGCTACAGTGTGATTTCATGTGGAAATATTGCTGAAGATTTTTAAAAGTATAGACATTGTGCGTGTGTCTGTGCGCGTGTGTGACTGGGATTGTTCCATTTGGAGTCTGTCCTTTGAGGGAGCCCATGTGGCATGCGCTCCCTGCTGTCAGTCAGATGCTGTTCAGCTGCCTGCAGACTGAGCAGGATGCTGCACTTGAAAGAAGAGATCTGCTATTTCGTTTCTATCCATGAATTTTGCTGTAATTGGTTATGCCAGATAAGATGTCACAATACCACTGGTTAAAAATAAAATCTATTTTTCAGATGTACTGCACTAATGGTACGTGCTAAGCTCTTGCACTAAAGGGTCAGTTTAGCATGGGGTGAGTTTCTCCCTTGTGCCATAGGGGATCCTGTGTGTGATGGCTGGGGTGGAAGGGCCAAGGCTGTGACTTGGTGGCTGACTCTTGCTGACATGGGGCTTGTCTGTCTTTGTCCCAAGTGACTTCTTTGCTACAAACATAGGTTTGAGTCTGACTGCAAGTACTGGGCACAGAAAAAAACCCAACAACTTTTATTTCCTGCTTAGTGCAGGGAAGAGTTAATTCAACACAAATAGATCAGCCTTCTGCTGCTTACCTGGACCTGGGACCTTTCCCCAGTAGTACTGGTTTGTGCTTGTTTGCTGTCTAAAAGTGATTTATTTTTTTTTTCCTCTTCAGCTGCTGTCTAGTTGTTGGTAGAAAAATCTTTAACATAGTGGAGATTGTCCGACTTCTATTGCGCATCGGTGTTACTCAGAACTCAGATTGCCGAAAGCTGCGATCTTCACGCTAACACAGCCATCAGTCATTGGAGTTCCCAGGCTTTGATGAACCAAGGGGGGTTGCATTGATCCCAGTTGGGCAGCTGATCCCCACAGTGTGCGCGCTCTCCTGCCACAGGACTGTGCAGCAGTTTGGCAGAAGTACAAAGAACGGGGGGGGGGGGTGTGTTCTTTCAGTTGCATGAGCCTTCCTGTTCACTTTTGCTGTCTGCTAGCCTTGGTACAAACTGAAGGTCATGGGGAAAAGCCTGAACTGGGCTGGTCATTTGTTGTTTTCTGGTAGAAAAGAAAAAGTCCAAATCACCCGAGATGTATGATTCCAGAATGTGCTCAGTTACAGTATAACCTCTTTAGCAAAAAAGAATCAAAATCTGTGAGAATTGAATTGGGGAAAAAACCTAAAGCAACCACACCTATAAAACTCATGAAGCTTAGCAGTCAGTGTACAACAATTAGAAATTGTTGTCTGACTATGCTCCGATCAGTGATGGGGCCATCACGGGTGGGAACACCATGCTGGAAGTTCGGGTCGGTCCATGATGAAATGTCTGTTACTAGAAGGGAAGCATGGTAAAAACTGTATCGGCACCTCCAGCTGCGCTGTAAAAAGCGCCTGGGAGAAGGATGGTTGGGTCATCCTATTATTTCATTTGGTGGCCTTGGCAGAGTTAGGCTTGTGGTTGGACTTGATGCTCTTGAAGGGCTTTTCCAGCCTAAAGGTTTCTATGATTCTGAAGTTTCGTGTTTGATTTGAATGGATGTTCTGCCAGTTGACAAGGGTGACAGAAATGACAGAGACACCAATGAAAAGAATAGGCTTATTTTACTATTGGTCTTTAAACAGGAAAAAGATTAATAGAATTACTTATATGGTTAGCTTGCAAAGCCCTAATTCAAGCAGCACAGACTGTAAAATGAGTGAGGTAATGCACCTAATCATTCCTACATACAGGAAAGAATAGTGATTAAGAAAGATACATCACCAGTTGCCCCAATACTTTCCCATCCCCCAGACCCACAGTCGCTGGGAGCCCCTGGGTGCAGCAAGGGTTTGGAGAGCCTTTCCCAGCGATTTGGGAAGTTCTACACAGTGTGTCCACTCGTAGCTGAGGTGTCCAGAGTCGCTGCTAGAGGCTCCAGCTTTTATGGGCCAAATCAGCAGGCTAAAAATAACCTGTATTTGTTTTGATTTGATGCAGAAAACATCTGGTGATATTCCTTTCCGACCACCTGAGGCTGGGGCTTGGCCAGAGCCCAGGATGCAGTTGGTGAAGTTGCCTAAAATACTGTGCAGATAACTGCATGGCCTTGGAGCTTCCTTGGCACAAGCATATAAAAGTTATCAGTCTGTAAGTCATCTTGTTTATCCATAACAACAGCTAACATAAGGAGTTTGCTAAAGTTATATCTATTATTAGCCGTTTACCCCACTAGCACAATTACAAAATGGTCAGGATTCATCTATAAGTCAACTCTGGCTTGGGCCTAATGTCTAAGCCTTAGGATTTCAATGGGTCATTTGAATTAACTCATCTTTGTATGCCCAGACATGCCTCAGCTATTTAGGACTCCTTAATTGTGCACTGCTTTACCTGCATGTGCAGATATGGTTGAGCAAGGATTGTGTTCATCAAATGACCAAAGGAGTTAGATGTTTGCTTATAGACCAGTCGTTTCTGCCGTGACGCCACTTGCTCACGGTGGTATTTATAGAACCTAGCCAAGCAGTGGTTTATTTCCTGACTCTGCTGTTGCTGCAGCCAGGGCTGATTGTACAGATATGCACAGGCAGGGTTTGAACACTGCCATAGCACCTTGTCCCTAGTTTGTGTTTTACAGAGCAGCAGGCTGTACTGTGGCTACTTGAAGAACATAAGGGCCAATGCTGATAGGTGTTGCAGTGGTTACCTCTAAGCAGGGACAAATTCTCTTTCCCAACCCCTCTGACAGTGCTTTCTCTGTATTTCTCATTTGTCAGGTAACTCTGCTCTAATCCTGCTGCACAGATATTCTGGGATCAGGGACACCTTTGCAGATGACCCGTACGGAAGGAGCAGAGGCTCTGGGCAGGGTGGAGGGCTGGTGGGGTAGAACACTGTTGAAGCAGCTGAGCTGGCTTGGTAAGGTGCAGCTTAGTCACTTCCTTCGGAAAGCATGTGGGATGCACTTACCATATGTGTGGGAGACCTGCCTGAGCCTCCTAATGTTGGAGCAAAGTGTTGAGGTGTTCTCTGCTTACCAGGAATGTGCCTTCTCACGGCCTGGGTTTGCTGGTCTGGTTTGGTCACAGTGGGCACAGCAGTGAACCTGGGCTTTGGGCTGTCCAGGAAGACCCAAGAAGGGGGTTAGACCTGCTGCAGGAGATGAAACCAGATGGATCAAAGCCTGGGGCACAAACTGTTGTCAGGATGTTCCCATCTTGCAGCTGCTCCTGAACCTCCCCTTGTGGCGCTCACCTGTATGTAGGTGGACAACCTCAGCCTATTTTCACCACATCCCCGCTCTGCTGAGAAGCCAGTTGGGAGAAAATTGCCATAGCTTCCTTGCTCTTCTGTGGATCGAACACCATGGTGGCCTTTGTCACAAGCCTGGAGCTGTCCTTCGTCAGCTTGAAAGAAGAATGTCCCTGCTTGTCTGACAAGGTGCTGTAGATTGTCCCTCAGATTCCCTGGCTCAACAAGCCCTTACTCATCCACTTATCTGGAGGAGTGATGTCATGAGACCTCCTCCAAGCCCCGCGAGGATATTTCTTGGCTGGTGAGGGCAAGTGGAGTAAGAGCACTAGGTGGCAGGGCCTCCCAGAGGGGCCTGTGTGGGGCTGGTGCTCCACTCCTGCAGCAGAGCCCAGAGGCACCTGCACGAGACTGAGGCGTGTCAGGAAACCTGATGCCTCACCTCTGCCAATGTGGAGGCGGAGGGAGGAGGGTCAAAAGACATGTCCCTTCACGCTCGCAACAGCTGAAAACAGAGAAGAAAACTTGCGAGAGCCCTTTTTTACCAGCGCAGGAGGCTGTGCTGTCACGCTCTCACCCCAGAAGCCCTTCCATACTCCAGTACTCTGGGGGGGTGGCAGTCTCACACCCATCAGGCGATGAACATCGCAAGGAGAAGAGGCTTTTACAGACAGGAGGTGAACAACACCCTCTGGGAGCTGCCCAGGAGATACACGTCCCTTCACCCCCTGGGATCTGGAGCCTACGGCTCGGTGTGGTGAGTAGGGTACTGCTTGCAGCAGCACAGGGCGAGTTGGGGGTGTTTAGAGTGCCATGCCGGGGGGGGAACACGGAGGTGCTTGTCAGCATCCTTCCATTAAGAAGGGACGTTCGCGTGTGTGACGGAAGCAGTTTGTCTCCTGCTCCACACGGGCAGTGAGCTGGAGGTTTGGTCTCTTGAAGAGAATGTTTCCTCCTGTGGTCACCCCGGGTGAGCAGAGGGGGCTGGTCCGGGTGGCTTGGAGCTTCAGCTCACTTTTGGAATCAGGCAGGTTTTGAGCTGTTTTGGTCTCGAGCTTGCATTAACATTTCTATCTGGCAGCAGAGGCAGGAGGAGGGGGGAATACTTGGGTGTCTGAAAGAAATTTTTAGATTATAATAGAGGTGGGTACTGGAAAAGGGTGTCCTTGCTGCTTAGTCTAAGGCAGGTGATGCTGGGCTGCCTGGGGAAAACCAGCTAGAAAATACAACCCCCACCCTGATACTGTTTCCAGTTTGAAATCACAGAGTAGTAGAAATTATTGTAAACCAGGATCGGTAACAGACTGGGACTTCCTTCATGCCTGGGGATAATCCCCAACCTATGAGAGAGCAGCATGAGCTGCTGCTAATCATTCAGCTGGGCAAAGGTGCCTGTAGCTAGGGCAAGCAGAAGCCAGACCTCACATGGCTTACACTGACAAACTGGAGATGGTCAGCTCTTTGAAAGGTTAAATATGAAGCAGTCCATTGACAGCATCTGAACAGAGCCCTTGTTTCATAACATGCCAAGCTAAAAATAAATTTTTAAAAGTGTGTCCCTTTTTGTAGGTGTTGGGCAAAGTCTATCCTGCTGCAGTCACAGCACTAATCCTGAAACCCTGGTGCCCAGGTTCTGTCCTTGTCCCCTGGCTTCCAATTTACAGAGGTGCCCGGTGTTTCCTTTCCTCACTTGGCTGTCCAGGTGCATTTAAGCTTCTGAGATGCTTGAGTCAGTCCTGCAAAATCAGGCAAGACTTGACTTGTCATTTTTTAATATTTGTACAGTGTTCTCGGTTATCACAGAGGAAAGCGCGAAGGAAAATAAAGACAGGACAAAAAAAAGGAAGAGAGAAATCCTTCCTGAGTTTCCTTGCCCATACCAAAAAAACAGACATCAGCAATGGAAATCTTTACTCGTCCCTGTGACAGTTTTGGCTGCTCTGGAGATCTTGAGGAGGGAGGAAAAGGTGTTGAAAACAGCCCGAGGGTCTGCGGAGGTGGTGGTGGTATGAATGGACAGTGCTCAGCAGGGAGGCCTTGGTGCAAATTCCAGTACAAAGCAGAGGAAAACGGCCGTGGAGCTAGGATTTGCTGTTCTCTGCTGAGAATTGCTGGGAAATTTTCCCACTGCAGTATTATTGAGCAGCTGGCTTTTACACCTTCTTGAGCAGCTGAGAAACTAACTCAGGAGAAACAGCAAAGACTTGTTTCTCGCCGTCTTAATTCTCCCAAAATCCGTAGTGATTTGTCTTCCAGCTGAATGCAATCCTGAAAGAAGTGTCTTCTGACACCTCCAACACTCACTGATCTCTGCCAGCAAGGCCTGGACACAGCTGTGCCTGCCCAGCATCATGCCAAGCTGTGTCTGCTCATTCAGCCTGGGCTGGGAGGAACATGGTGCACTCTCCCAGCTGTGTTGACTGAATTAGCTCAGCTGTGCTTATGGTGATGGCATAACCAGCACTGCCTGTGCTGCACAGGTTGAAGCTCCATCACCCAGCTCTCCTGTGTTGAGTGGTGGAGTGAGATGCTCTGTAGGTCAGCAGCTGGGAAAGCAGGTAAGAATGTGTACTCTCAGATCAGGAAATCTGCCTTGAATTCTGCAGAAACTGTTTGACTGTCTGGTCCAAGTCCCTTCCTCTTATTTCTCTGGCGCCTCAGAAAACTCCTGTCCCCTCTGCCAATACCTGCAGAAGTCCTGAAAGGGAGATAACGTTTCACTAAGAGTCCTCCTAAGATACCCTGTGGCACCTTCAGTGCTGATACTGCCTCGTGTCGCTGTTCCTGCACTTCCTTTGCTGTTCCCAGGTGAATGGGGAAATGTGTCTGTGCATGGCTGCAGGATGCAGCTAAAAGCCATGGGATTGAATCAGACAATTTATAGCCCTTCTGTTTCCACATGAGCTCGGATAGGGATTTATGAAGTGATGGGGAACTGCTCTGGAAATTCACAGTGTGATTTGGCAGGGAAAATCCTTTTTTTCATCTGTTTGCCTCTTGGGAGTGGTAAGCAGGTTCTGAGGCACCCCTGGAAAATGCCACTGAGAATCCCAAATTACAGCTGTCTGTCTGAGGGCCTCCCTCCTCACTTGGAAGCTGGGGCCTCCTTTGCAATTTGATCAAAGAGTCTCCAGAAAAAAAACTGTCATGGGATTGCCATGTCCAGTTGCAAGCAGCAACTGTGACCAGAGGGAATAACATCATGTCTGTAGTGATGGCTGTTGTACCATGTTTTCATTAGCTTTGTAGAAGACTCTTACTTTCAGCCAGACCAGCTTTTACACAGAAGCATATTTGTGGCATCAAAGATCCTGACTGTAGAATTAATTCCAGTAGCCTGTATGTTCAATGTGAGGCATCAACTGTCTTTGCTCCAGAATATAGTGAAGGTGGCTGGCCTGCCTTAAAAGACAACAAACTCCAAGCAGATGGCAAAGCAGAAATCACTTTCTTCCTCTATCTCCATGCATTAGGGAAGAAGAAAACAGAGTTAGAACTAATCCTGACCTTTAACCATTTGTGTTTCCCTCTTCTCACAGCTCTGTTGCCTCTAGCTTGTTTCTGCAGGTTACAGGGAATAAAGATGAGCCACTCATACTTTTCTTGGTATTCCACCAGGTCCTTCAAAGAGTGCAGGCTGTGGTCTTCTGCTCAAAGCCACACAGGGTAACACCTCTGTGTGCAGAGCTCCACCGGATTTCTCAGGGAGCCTTTCTTTGGTGTTCTGTGAGCACCAGGATAAGTTCTTCTCTAGCAGACAACTTTGGGGACTGCAAAATTTGTTAAAACATACTGCTGATGTCAGAATTGGCTTTTATTTGTCTGCTGCAGTTCAGCCATAGACAAGAAGACAGGGGAGAAAGTGGCTATCAAGAAGCTCTGCCGCCCATTCCAGTCAGAGATCTTTGCCAAGAGAGCATACAGAGAGCTGATGCTGTTGAAGCACATGCAACATGAGAATGTAAGTACTTGTTTCTCTCTCTTCCTG